TGAGCGATAATGACCAGGCTTATGACTGGTCGACGACTATGGACTTTTCCAATTTCCAGACTGTTGGCGGTAACGCGAACTATTATCCAAATGGTGCGCCGAATTTCTCGTCGTATCCGCCGCAGTAAACGGGGTTAGGGGAGGCCCAGCATTGACGAATTGGTAGATTTTTCTTTTGCGATGCTCGGCTTTTAGCATTTCTGATCAGCCTTTTGTTCTCAAGTTTCTCATCTTAGGTTCCTGAGGCGCAATTCTTGGTGGTGGTCTTATTTGGGTGTCAGCTTTCCATGGCGACAGGAAACCATGCACAGGAGTTCTTGGGTTATAGGCAGTCGTTGTGTTGCAATTATTCTTGGGACGGTACGCAGTAACATGGGTGACTTTGCAGTGTGCGTAGAGATGGTCGCGGGCAAATCGTTGGCTTGGTTGCTTTGAGCGATACAAATGCATATGCACGTAGGATACAACATATCGACGGACCTTGGGCAAAAGATCGGTAACCGACTACCGCACGGTGTACTCCGTGTGCGCTTTCACTAATGTCAGGTAGATAGGTGGCACGCTCGTTGAATCAGGATACGTACTTCGTAATTTCATGTTCCCAGGTACGTTAGTTGAAAAAGGGTAGTCTTGATTCAAATTCATCATTCCTTGCCTTACACGAGACCCCTACAGGAGCTTCTCGATAGCAAGAAAACCACAGTACGATTCTATTCATGGAGTATGCGCGCACTTGCTTTTCGCAATGATCAGACCCTTGTTACGTCAGCCTAAAATCAATGTACCTCGGTAAATCTCTCCACATTTGTATCATCATCTCAGCCCGTTACCATCCCCACACTAGTCATGCCATCTGCACTTTTCCTGCTCCAAGAACCGACAATCGAGTCAATATCTATTATGCCGATGTCCGTCGTCATCACGATGCGGATGCCTTGCCCAAAGTAGGGGCGGAACAAGTTGTCGACGAACTTGACCCAAGCTTCCGCAAGCATCCACGGCGAGGAGACTAGGACGTCAAGCATTAACCCCAGCGCTAACCCCACTGATCGTCAACACTCTGCACCGCCTGGGCAACGGTCATGGCGCTCATCGGACATACTTCCCCGCCTGCGCCATCCGAGATGCGGGCGCATACGTGCACTAAAGACTTTTAACGAGCTTCCATGCAGCGATATTGGTGGAATCGGTACTTGCGTATTTCGATGCTGGTTGGACTAGTATCACTACGGCTACTCATCCGGTCAACCTGGTCGATCTTGCGTGACCTGGTTACTCATCCGGCTGAAATGGCACGGCTTTGGCATGCCCAACATGGGGGTGAACCGGGGAAAAGTTACTGGGGGAACAGGGGGAACAAAGGCAAATGCGCTCGGAACATGATGGCACGAGATGCTGTCATCGTCCAACGGGAACGAGTAAAGATCCCGGTCGGCTACATGCAAACCATGAGAAGCTTCGGAGGCTGGGGAAATTTGTTTATATTGCTTGCTTTCCCGCGGACATGCTCAACTCCACAAGCAACTTGACCTTTGGTTCCGCATACTGGTCAACATGAAGAGCTTTCTGAAGCTTGGTGGCGCGGTTGCGCTCGGGTGTTTTGCTGTCGAGAGTGCGGCCAGGGCTGTAGGATATTCGCCCAAGGAATTCATCAAGCCGTACAAGAGGGAGGCTCTACAAGATATCGTAAGTGGCAAGGTTCAAATGTCCATCTGAAATTGGTCGTGACTAACCATGTCTGTAGGTCACCTGGGACGAGGACTCGCTCTTCGTTCATGGAGAACGCATCTTCCTATATTCTGGCGAAGTTCACCCGTACAGACTACCAGTTCCTGACCTTTACGCCGACCTCTTCCAGAAGATCAAGGCTCTTGGTTACAACGGCGTTTCCTTCTATGTCGACTGGGCTCTGCTTGAGGGCAAGCCCGGTGTTTACCGCGAAGAGGGTGTCTTTGACCTACAGCCTTTCTTCGACGCTGCGCAGGAGGCTGGTATCTATCTCCTCGCTAGACCGGGGCCTTATATTAACGCTGAAGTATCTGGTGGAGGTTTCCCCGGATGGATTCAGCGGGTTAACGGCACGCTGAGAACGCGCGCTCCCGATTTCCTGGAAGCGACCGACAACTACATGAAGAATGTGCTGGCTAAGATCAAGACGGCGCAGATCACTGAGGGTGGCCCTATCATCCTTATCCAGCCAGAGAACGAGTACACGCAAGCTACTTCCGCCATCAAACCTTTCCCGGACCCAGTCTACATGCAATACGTTGAGGACCAGATTCGCGACGCCGGTATCGTTGTACCTTTGATCAGCAACGACGCCTCTGCAAAGGGGAACAACGCACCCGGTCAACCGGCAGCTGTTGACATTTACGGCCACGATGGCTATCCTCTTGGATTTGACTGTGCCAATCCTACCACATGGCCGGATGGCAACCTTCCAACGAACTGGCATCAGCTTCACGAGCAGCAGAGCCCTACTACCCCATACTCCATTGTTGAGTTCCAGTCCGGCAGCTTTGACCCTTGGGGTGGACCAGGTTTCGACAAGTGCGGTATTCTGGTCGGCGCGGAGTTTAACCGTGTATTCTACAAGCAACTGTACAGCTTTGGTGTTACGATCTTGAACTTGTACATGACCTACGGTGGAACCAACTGGGGTAACCTTGGTCACCCTGGCGGCTACACTAGCTACGATTACGCTGCGCCAATCAAGGAAGACCGTCAAGTTGACCGCGAGAAGTATTCTGAGCTTAAACTCCAGGCCAACTTCCTCAAGGTGAGCCCTGCGTATCTCACTGCTGCGCGTGGCAATGCTTCAAACTCCACCTGGACGACTAGCACCGATTTGAGCGTCACTCCTGCGACCAACGAGAAGACGACATTCTACTTTTTGAGGCACTCCAAGTACAACTCATTGGAATCAACGACCTACAAGCTTCACGTCACAACCTCTGTCTTCGGAAACATCACTGTACCTCAGATGAACGGCACCTCCCTTACGTTGAACGGCCGTGATTCCAAGGTCCATGTTAGCGACTACGACATCGGCGGTGCCACTCTGGTCTACTCTACTGCTGAAGTATTTACTTGGCACAAGTACGACGATAAGACTGTTCTAGTCGTCTACGGTGGTGCAGGAGAGACTCACGAGCTGGCTCTCGATGTCACTGGACTGGAGGTCGTCGAGGGCGATGTCGCGAGCACTACTGCTAAGGGTACCACAATCCTGAATTTCAAGGCCGATGGTACCAGAAAGATCGCAAAGGTTGGAGCTGATAGCCCCGTCTACGTCTACATGCTCGATCGTAGCGAGGCCTTCAACTACTGGGCTATTGACCAAGCTCCTCATGACTCTTCTGACCCTGTCATTGTCAAGGCAGGATACCTAATGCGCACTGCCAAGGTTACTGGCGACACCATTGCTCTCGTTGGTGATCTTAACGCTACAACTACCGTCGAAGTCATTGGCGGCGCATCATCAGAAGTGTCTAAGATGACTTTCAACGGAAAGGACATTGACTTCACCACTTCCGAACAAGGAACCTTGTCCGCCGACATTGAGTTTGCCAAACCGGACATCAGCGTACCCAAACTCAGCGAACTGGAATGGAAGTTCGTCGACTCTCTACCTGAGATCCAACCCGGATACGACGACAGCGAGTGGACTGCAGCCGATCTGAAGAAGACATACAATTCTCTGCGTCCCTTGACTACACCTGTGTCGTTATACAGCTCCGACTACGGTTACCACACCGGTACTCTGCTCTTCCGCGGCACATTCACCGCATCTGGAAACGAATCAACATTCTACCTTTCCACGCAAGGTGGTTCTGCATTCGGTTCCTCTGCGTGGATTGGCGATCAATTCCTCGGCTCATGGCGTGGTTACGACGCAGCCATGAACGGCAACGCCACGTTCACCATGCCCAACCTGACCAAGGGGAAGACATACACCATCACGGTCGTCGTAGACAACCAAGGCCTAGACGAGAACTGGACCATTGGAACCGAAACCATGAAGAACCCGCGTGGTATCCTGGATTACAAGCTATCTGGCCACGACGCCTCCGATATTACCTGGAAGCTCACTGGTAACCTCGGCGGAGAAGACTACCGCGATATTTCTCGAGGCCCCCTCAATGAAGGCGGCCTGTACGTTGAACGCCAGGGTCTACACCTCCCCGGTGCCCTCACAGCAACAGACGCCAAATGGCAAGCCTCCGCCGGCCCAGTCGCCGATGGCATCTCCACCCCAGGCATTGGTTTCTTCGCCACTGAATTCGATCTCAACATGCCCTCTGGCTACGACATTCCCCTCAGTTTCACCTTCACAAACGGCACTTCTTCCAGCAACTCTTCTTCTTCGGGTTCCAGCGTCCCCGCCTACCGCGTCCAGCTCTACGTCAACGGCTGGCAGTACGGCAAGTACGTTAGTAATGTGGGCCCGCAGGTCAAGTTCCCTGTTACAGAGGGTATCTTGAACTACAACGGTACCAATTACTTGGGTATCAGTCTTTGGGGTCTGGATGGTGGAAGTACAAAGGTGGATGGATTGGAGTTGGAGGTCGATGCGGAGATTTGGAGTGGAATGAAGAGTGTGGCTACTGTTATGGGAAGTGAGTATGAGAAGAGGGAAGGAGCTTATTGATCTCCTGATATGTGCAGATAATGAGTGTACATACTATATAACGAACTTATTATGATTCCAAAGTTTTATTCCATCATGTGAAGGCGATTCTGGCAACGCAGGTTACGCCTTCCGTACTTGCCTCTTTGAGGTTCCAGTTGATACCATTATCTGTTTTTGATCCTCATTCTCCCTCACTCTCACTCACCTCGACATTTTAGTGCGGTCTTGGCACAGACCCTAACAAGCGCGGTCTCGGCCACAACAACAGTTTTGATTATTTACAACACTGGCTTTCCGACCTTGCTACGTATTCGCTTGGACCTCTAAGTACTACACGGGGATCGAGGTACAACCCTACAACAGCACCATGGCAGTCAAGTAAGTCTTGTCTATACACAAGTCTCAATGAGCTTATACTAATGATCAAAGTGCCAGAAACCTCAGCGGCGGTATATCGTTTTTCGACTTGCCTGGAGGTACTTGCTCTATCGATTACAATACCCAGTTCTCGCAAGCTGATACGAGACTACAGAGCTGCGCAACGCTATCTACGAGCACTTCATCGATCTCATGCCATCAGTCAAAAACGCCATCAACCTAGCTTGCGTCCATAAGCAGATTCACTCGGAGTTCGGAGTGTTATTCGTCCTCCAGAGCAATCTCATCATCGACTTTGAAGATCTTAATGACTTCCTACATCACTTCTTTGTTCGCTGCCCCAACCCGGCCCTGGAGGATCTTCATTGCTACCTGAGAGTGGAGTCGTTCTGGTGTTCAAGTAACTCTCTTGATATGCTCGCGGTCGCTGCGGTCCTACATGAGTACCCTTTATTCCAGATCGAATGGTGTATAGAGTGTGCCTGCGGCTATTGTTTATGCGACGTCGGATATGATGGTTTTACCTTCGCACAGTCTTTCCTGACGGATATGGCTGTCGATCATTTCAATCAGTTAGTATCTGCCAAGGTTTCTTATGAACAGTCCTACGGACGCAGCCGTCTTCGGTTTGTCACTGGAAAGGGAATCTCTAGACAGACTGTCGAGAACTGGAGGCTTATCTGCAAGGACTTTGTCAAGTTTACGGTCTATAGGGAAGATCGCGAGGATTTTGAGGACTTTGACTCGGATGATGAGACCGATTCGGACAACGATGATGGCAAGTCGGAAGGTGGTTCGGAGAGTAGCGAATCAGAACAGGAAGATTGACCAGAGGTTGGTAACGCGATGTGATAGAGCCTCGCGATATACTAGGAGGCCTTCCTCGTTTTAAGTATCAATCTCGGCGCAGAGTCTTCTGGTGGCATACTGTCGCCGTTCTGAAGCTGCGTTGAAAGCGGAATGCAGGTTCTAATTCGTACTATGCTTCGGTCCAAGCTCGCATGCCTTTGCCATACATACACTAGGAAGTGTTATCATGTTCCCGTAATTTGAAGGCCAAGAGATTCTCGCATCGCACCTAATTGTTCCTGGTGCTTAGGCCGATGCGATATGAACGTGGATGTAAGTGCAGAAGAGAGACTTAGTTACTTACGCGGCCCAAGAATCTCTAGCTGCGAGCATAATGCTCATCGAGGAATCATTTTCACCTGTTTCAAAGCTGAGCATTCATGCCCTTTCAGTACTGTTCGAGAATCCAGGTTCCGAGCTCGGCGATAAAGCAAAGAGCTCACAGCGCGCCACGCATCACCGCTCCTCCGATCACACTGCATGCTGCACGGTGCCCTTGAGCAACGCCAACACCAGCTATCATGAACTAGCGGGTATTGATACTGCAAAGCTAGGGAGAGGTCTGGTCATCATCTTTTTTTGGAAAGATTCCGGTTCGTTCGTCAAGTATTGAGACACCAAGCCGTTGGCCATAGCTTGTTAGGTACAGCCAATCCAAGCAGCAAACCCGACACGACAAAGACACATTCTGACGAAGAACACACACGAAGCCATCTGCGTCCCAGAGTCAGCTCCAAGTAGCCGCGTACTCGGAACCAATTATGCACAAGACCACGTGAACGCAGCTGACCTCAGCATCCCCTCACTCCTCACCACCTAGTATACCGATCCCCGCCCTTTCCCTCCTCCATCAAGTCAGACATACACCCAACACGAAAGCCCAGGCGTTTGCGTATAAACGAGCACACACGACACAGTGACGAAGGAGCGCTGTCAGTGTGGAGAAAAGGCTTGAGGAAAGCGAAGCGAAAAGCCAGCAATTGATTTAGGTTCAACGTCACAGGCACGCGTGAGGTGGACCAATGAGTACCCTAGCGCGACGGCCACTAAACCCCGGGGCCCACAAACGCAGTCCGTGCTAACCGGATGCAGGACTAGGCACGTGGACGGTCGGGACCACGGGGTACAGAGAGCTTGACGTCGCGCGCTGCGGATGGGCGTGGCTCAAGCAACTTGCAATGGGCTTATAAGAAGGGTCGCGTGCGCCCAGGCGTGTGGTGAATGCCACAGTTAGCATTGAGGCTCTTGGGCTTCGCAGTTTCATAGTTTTACCATCACAGAAAGTCAACGCTGTTTGTTGAGATTGATGGAGTAGCTTTCTTTATTGTATCAATCCAACGTCATTTTTTCTAGTTTCCGCGGACCCTGCGTTTGCGTGGTACACCGACCTTCCTTGCGGGGATACCTCCCCTTCCTACTGGGGCCACAGAGCTGTTGTTCCTTGCGTATCCTTTTGTCAAGAGGTACTGTATCCATAAGAGAGGACTGTAAGAACCTCCATACCGGTTCTCGTTTCTACCTCAACAGACTCCAAGTACTTGCCGTTTTACCACAATCACCTGGACAGTCGGTATGCTCGACACAAACAACCTCACAACAGCAGACCTCCTCCCAGCCTTCCAACAACCCACCATACCCCCACCCCAACCAAGCATGTTCACGGAAACACACCTGCACATGCTCATCGCAACCCTAACGCTCACTCTTCCCCTCATAACAGCCATCTACATCCATGCCGACTACTGCGCCTTCCTCTCCCTTGGCCCCGGCGGCACGCCAGCGACACCTCTAGGCTACCTAAAGATCAAACTCCTGTCGCTAATCTGCCTACGCAACCCCCTCCGCCCAATCGCGATACCACCGCACTTCCGGCCGCAAAAAGGGTACTTTGTAGATGCCGACGCATTGCCAGGAAGGAAAGGGCCAAAGCCGTTGATCCGAGGTATTGCGCCACAGCGGCAGCAGACGCAGAAGAGTGGAGAGACTGTCTACAGTTGTCTGGTGAGCAAGATCAAGGGCCTTGCGGCGGATCCCCGTAACCAGCTACTGGAACGAACGAGTTGTTTTGAGAAGCATAGTTCGGGGTTGTTTACCAGTGTGCCAATTACGAGGACGTGTGGAGGGGAGATTTGTCATGCACACCCGAGTGATGGGTCCATGCATATGACTTTGCATCCTGCCGATGCCAATCTTATGATTGAGAAAGGGTGGGGGGAGAGACATCCGTTGGCGAGGGGGGGATGGTGTAGAAAGTTTGTTCCGAGAGAGTTCATGCTGATTTATGCACCGAGGGATGAGGAGGAGGTGGAGGTTGTTGCTAGAATTATCGCGGCGGGGATTTGGTGGGTTAGTGGTGTCGATGTCAATGGGGATGAGGTGGGGCCTAGGAGGAGGAGTGCAGATGTTGCAGTGATTGGGAAGGAAATGGAGGGGAATGAGTGTTGGACTTGTAGGGTGAATGACTGTGGGGGCAGTCAGGTGGAGAAGCTGACGAGCGACGCGTAAGAGACGGGAAACGGAGGAAGGGTCCGAGAGAACAGATTGTTAGCAATTGCTTGGTTTTGTTCGTTCAAGCATGGCGTTTGGGATTCTGGGTTTTCTCCGCAAACAGTATACAGTATCTGGGCAGGGCATTTGGGCGATGTACGATGGAAGTAACGGTAGTCGACACACAATCGTCTTTGGTATCCAATCCTAATCGCTTCGTGATGGCGTGCACACTTGACAAGCAACCTGAATGCACATGGCTTGTGCTCCATACTTCCCATTTCCCATCGGGCCTCTTAACCCATATCGACCCTCCCTGTCCGCACACATCTACTGTTTGCCTCCCTGCCTGACCCATTCCTCGTATTCTTTCTTCTTCCCTTTAACGTCCCAGAAACCCCTCCTACCTTCGCCTTTCCCAGCGATTCCGCCATCTAGCCCCAGGAATGCGTAAGGATCGCCTTCGCTCAAGATCTCTTCGCCCTCTTTTGTGTATTGTCCCTCTCCGTGTCGTCCTTGTCTCGAGAGTTGGCCCGCCCATTGTGCGTATTGTATCGGTTTCAACGGCGCAAAAGATAGGACGATGCCGAGAGATAGGAGGAGAATGGATGTGAGGAGTTCGAGCGAGATGTCGAGCGGGAGGGGTGTTGAGGCAAAGGTTGCGGTGTGTTCGTGGGTGGAGTAGACGCTGGTCATGGTTAGTTGTCGTCGTGACGGAGGTAGTAATACTCATGGGTCCCTCGATTTGGACATGATTCCATGTGGGCTACATGTGTACGTACGCATGTGTGAGGAAGAGCGCGCCGATGCCGTTCAGCGCCGTTCCCAAGATAGCCATTGCAAAGTTGGCGGGGTGCACGAAGCCGATCGATGCGTAGAGTATTCGCCGATTAGGAGAGATAACCTAGGGTTTATTCGTACAATATCTCGTAGCCTCCGCGTTGACAATCGAGGTGGAAAGCGGTTGCGTTGGTGCAGGTCGGTGTTCGTGATGCGAAGCCGTGAGCTTCACTTTTGCTTGGCGCCTGTGATCCGCTCGTAGACCCTTCAAGTCCGCAACTCCAAGTGTCATCATCCGTCCACCCATCTCGCTTCAACCGCGCCAACTTCTTTATCCAAACACGATAGCGCTTTGTGAATGCTAACTTAGTAAAGCAAATTCTTGTTTGCTTGCGCCTGTGGCTTCTATCACTAAGTTTATCCTTCATAGCTTGTAGCAGTGTTTTTCTGCTGTGTCGTTGCTTAGCCGGCGACAACCTGCTAAGCATGCCCTCGAAACGCGGTCTTGGCTGGCCATGGGACTATCCGGCATCCCACTTCCCCGTCTACACCTCTTGTGATAGGATAACCTGGCTCTTCAACTGGGAGCTCTGGGTTCCACCGGGCCTTCCCGATTCCATAGAATGGGTACCCTGTGTGCGCACCGCTGCACAAGCAAAAGATATAACGCCATTCCTCTCCGACATCATTGGCAACAAGAAAGCGAATGTCAATTACTTACTTGGGTTCAACGAGCCTGAGATACCGGATCAAGCGAATTTAAGCGTTGAAGAAGCAGTCAAGTTGTGGCGAGAGGTTGTTCTACCAGCGAAGAGCAAATTTGGACTTAAGCTGGGCAGTCCTGGGGTGAGCAGTGACGTAGGAAGGAGTAAACCGTGGCTTGACCGGTTTTTTGGGCAGCTGGAGGGTGATGCTCAGGTAGACTTTCTGGTCGTACATTGGTACGGCCCACGGTTTACAGATTTCAAGACGTACCTTGAGGATATGCATAGTACTTATAAACTGCCTCTGTGGGTTAATGAGGTTGCATGTTCTACGATGGGGAATGGCGAGGTCAGCGAGCAGGAGGTAGAGGCGTTTATGAAAGAAGCGTTGCCGTGGCTGGATGGATGTGAGTGGGTTGAGCGGTATGCGTACTTTGGTAATGGGCAGGGAAAGACGGTTGGGCCCTGGGTGGGCAAGAATAACGATTTCTGTGAGATGAGTGAAGATTGTGAGGGGAGTGATGGAAGGAAGTTGACTGGTGTTGGGAGGCTATATGCTGAACTGTAACATTAAGCCCAGGAACAGTGAGACTAAGGCGCATTCTCCCCGGTGACTTCCCAAATATCCAGGCATCTTCTGGTTGGATTTCGTACCTAATTGGCATACCACAAAACAATGCTCAAATTCCGCTTACTGCGATGGTGCAGGAGAACATCCTACGCTTCGAATGTTGCGAGGTTTCAGTCATTGCAATAATGCATCTATTTCCGAAGATATATAGTGGAGGGGGATCATACAGTTGATGTTGAATGCCAGACTCCCACGAGCTGATGTTCGCATGCTGGGAGGTGTAGAATATGGTTCGGCTGTTGCGGGCTTTTCTCAAAACCACCATAGTTCATCTTCGAGGCTGTCTTTCCATAGCTCCAGACATGGTTTTGATGGATCCCAAGCGTCCCATCTTCTCGTTTCTCGCACAATCTCAAGATACATTAGTACACTAGGACCAAAGAGTATGACCAGCTGGAACGCTGCTATGCCGAGCCCCAGTACGATAGCACCTAGCCCATGAAAGAATAAGAATATCCATACGCCTGCCTTAAAAAGTGTGGAGGTGGAACAGTTGTCATCCGTAGTTACTTCTTTGGGAGGGGTATTATCAGCCGGCGCAGCGTCCGCCTCATTGTTTCGTGGCGGTTCGACTTCTTCGTTTTTCGTGTACAGTCCTCTACAAGAATCGGCACAAATTACCAGTAGTAGAAAGACGTCATGGAACACCTTTATACATATCGTCAGGGTCAATACTGAACGCAGAGAGAACGCCCTGTGCGTCAAAAGCAACATCTGCAAACTCGCACCAGCAAGTGCGTGTAGCACGGCTCGCGGAAGAGCGGATATACTGCAGCCAAATAAGACTATCTGGACCGGTTTGTCAGGCAGATTGGATTCTGTCTTGAGGTTTCTGCAAGGTTGGAGCGAGCAAGCGCGTGCTGCGCAGGGCGAGAAAGAATCGGATGCGAGCATCCATTTCGTATTGATGAGAGATACGACCAAGGATTTTGTGAGCGCAGCGAGGCCCGAGATGGTCATGAGCATCATTGCGCAATCGACGGTAGCATCTGCATGGGTGATGATGCGACGTGAAAGAAGGACGGCCGCTTGGACATACTGCGCAAAAAGTATGACTAGGAAAAGGACACGTCCCGACCATTTCAAGTCTCTTTCCAGTAGCTTGCTGCTGATGTGGCATGGATTGATGTACATGAGACATGGGGCGGGGCCCATGGCATCCGTCCTTTGACCAGTGTCGATACGTATCCAGCACATGCAAGCCAACCTGTATCTGATGCTTGACTTTTCATCCCAGGAGTCCCGCGTAGCCTGTAACGAGCCCGCAATCTCGTACCATACAGCACTTGCCATGGCGAAAAGAGAGGCCAAGGGGTTGACGAGCACTTCAAGCATGCGAAAGAATTCGCGTCTCCAGGCATCCGAGCCTGTAAGGGAGCTAAGATGGCCATGGATGCACATGGTGGTCACAGTGGCGGCGAAGAGTCTGACGAAAGCGCTTGTCTGTGTTCTACGGTCATTCTCGGGACACGCCGTCGCGAAGTCATTCGTGTTGTCGAAGGGCGTATAGTGGCTGTCGAGCACGTGGAAGGAGAAAACCGTTATCAACGTCGTGCTGAGTAGTGGCACCCAGAAAGAATATGGTTTGGTGAATGGCATTCTCGAAAGTGTGGTGATGATCCAAGAGTGCTGTGATGCAGCTGAGCCAGTATCGCGATCATGCCCAGCGTCGCTTCGGTCCTCTTTCCGTTCGGGGCGAAGGAGATACAACAGCATGAAGGAACCATACAGTGTGACCCACTTGACACCTAGAGCTATGGTGGTCCATATCTTCGAGACGCTGGTAGTCAGATGTTGTAGCTGAGGTGCTAGATATCCTGTCCTTGACGGCTCTTCTGGACGACGTGGCATGATTCGAGGAGTCTATAATAGGATGCGACAAAGAAAAAGCTGACACGCTGTCTTAGGGAGTTGAAGACGATCTAAGCTTTTAGAATACTGACGTTGCACTGCCACTAGGTTTACGAGAAATGCTGGACACCTTACGCTAGGCTTATTAGAACTAGCGTCCCATCTATACCGTACCAGTAAGATATCTCTATCTAGAATAACACAACAATAGTAACTAATAGCAAAATAAAACTGACTTTAATATTTGTTTATATCTGATGTTTCCTGTTACCCCGGTGCTGCTGCGCCAAGTTCAATTCTGCAAGTTGCAGTCCAAGCCAGCATCACGACTACGTCATAGAATGTAAGACTCGCTGTTTGATCGGGTGCGACCACATTACACTGCGGGATGATTGTGTTGCTTGCCAAAGGTCAATTAGATGTGGGATGAGTGAATGATTGTATATTTGTAGCATGTAGGAACATTACATGAATCTTTTGTTTCAGATTCTTCGCTCACGAGTTTATGAAGGGATCGTTTAGGGCGAGATCTAATGAATTCACCGTATCAATTGCAAAGATACTCTACGAACCAGGCTGACCATATTCGACTGTTCATGGAGACACGACTCGAGAACAATAAGATCTCATCCACCGTCTCACCCTCTCCCAAGACTTTCTCACGACAGCCACCACATCCACCTTAGCAACAAGCCCTACCCCTACTGCCAGAGGCACTGCTGTCACAAAATACACCCAAAACAACTGCCCCCCTGGAGCAAAAGCGTCTGCCATACTGAACAGTGCCGCTACATAACTCAGTGGGATAAAAATCACCGCCAACGCGGTGAGCCGCGTCACGTTTTCCGTCTCCGTCAGCGCCCTTCGACTCTCGATTAGCGCAGCCGCAGACGTGACAAGTGGTACCATAGCCTCTAGTTTGTCGCCATAATTCGCCACTTCGCTTGCCAAGAACTCATAATCTTCTAACATATCTTCCCAGTCCTCAGTAGAAGAACCATTCGAGCGCGTTCTGATAAAGCGCATGTTGCGATGCAGTTTAGCTTGTGTTGAAAGAATGCGGCGGCGCCAGCCCTGTAGGATTCGGAGGTTCGTGTTGAGAGATTCCAGCTCAGCAATGAGGTTGCCCGTTAACGAAGTGCGAAGTTCATATTCGCGTAGACTGAGGCCCAGGACGGCGATGTAGTTTACCCATTCGGCAGCGACGATCTTAAGAGGGTAGTAGGAGAAGTGCTGGAGCGCCGGGGCGGAAGGGTCGAAGGCTTGAGGACGTTGGTGTGTCCAGTAGTAGACGAGCTCGTCAAGCATCGCTCGATCAGATGCTTGAGCTACATGGCGGTGATTTCCAGTATCGCTTGGAGTGACTGGAGATTTAATGTCAGAGAAATCTTCGTACCCGCCAAGGAAAGTTTTGGAATCTAGATTCGGCGGGAGCCGACTATTTCGTTTCGATGGGATATAGTTGTTCTTGATGGGCGGGTCGACGAGGATGATGGCTATAAATGGTTTTAGCGGGAGTACAAGCATCTCGTTGATCGACTTGACGAACCGGTCCAAATCTGTGCAGGAGGATTTATTAACATGACTGAAGCACTATGCTGCACCAAGCCAATACGTTCTCCATCTAGCGACGGAAGTATGACTGCCTTGCGTTGCTGGTTTGTATTACGTGTTACTGATCTCAGAGTCGTATCTTTCTGTTGCAAAGCTACAATCCTATGGTAATGCAGCGGCAGGAAATTCTGTTTCTTCTCTCGTGAAGGCAGAGAGCAATTTGCAGGACTCTGTGTGCTAGTTTTGCGCCACGTTTGATGCACGTAGGAAGCAAAGAACCAAGGGTCAATATCGAAGAAAGACCCTAACTCTTCCAACGCAGGTTTAGAGATATCTTCAATGATCAAGATTCGGCCCCTGTGATCGGGCGCAAAGAATTCTGGCTGATCTATTGGCTTGCGCAGCTCATGACCAAAATCATTTGCGGAAATCTCTCTCTGGGTTACAGGCACAGGCTGTTCAAAGATGTCTATACATACTGTGCGAGACTGGTTATGGGCTCGAGTTGGCTGTTGGAGAAATTCGCAGAGGTCGGAGAGACAAGGGTTTCGCCGGCTCTGTGCAACGACACGGTGAAAATAGCTCGAGCTCATAGAGACTTTATGACGGTAGATCTTAAGCGGAAGACTGCGCTGAAATGACTATGTGATGTGAGCTAAGCTGCATGTACAGCCGGTTGCACATTAGCTATCACAACTAGTACTAGTTTAGAGCGGTCACAGGCAAGGTACAAACCGTTACAGAATGGATTAGAATTAGGATGATGCAACACTCGCTAGGAGTGCATGAGAAGTGCCAATTCCAGGGGATCAACGTGTATGAGAAAGCCGTTCACACAAACATGGGCGGCGTATGAGACGTATCAGACGAATGGCGCAGTGTAATGATAGCAGGATTTGGTTGTCCGCAGAGGCTGAAGATAAGCAATGGACGCTACTGTGTTGGGACCAGTAAGCATGTGGCTTGACGTGGTGCTGACTGGTAGCCTGCATCTGCCTTGTTGGAGTGTGCGGGGCACGTACGGAGATCGATACCCCACCATTTGCGGAGTGAATCTACATTGCTTACCCACATTCTTCACCAACAAGCTTTTTGTCATACGCATCGAGTTGAGTCAAATCGAATGTAAAGCAGACCGAGCTGCACAACATGGACACATCCGTAGGAGAGCGTCCTCGCACTCCTTCGGAACTCGAAGAAGTTAAGGAAGAGTTTATCGCGAAGAACTTCTCAAAACGCGCGATGTTCTGGGAGGATCTTGCTCTTTTCGTTAAAGCCGAGCTAGATAAACATTTGAAGCAGCTGGATCCAGTTGTGCATTCGACATCCACATACCGAGTTAAAACGAAGGAGTCAATGAGGGGTAAGGTAGAGCGACTGCAGAAGCAAGGAAAGTGTCAAGATCTTTCATCATTCGAGAGCGTCCAATGGGATACCGCGGGTGTGCGTGTGTGCCTCTACTTTCCATGTCAGAAGAGCCAAGTGAAGACCTTCATTGAGTCGTACGAACTCTTCGAGGTTGTTCCTGCCAGCTCGGAACAACCTGCAAGAGTGTTTAGCGAGCGTGGATATCGAATGAAGAATCCTGAGATTCGTCCGTATGAAGAACGTATGGGCTATTACGAGGCGGACCATTATTGCATCCGTCTACGAAGCGACCATGAGGGAGTCAGAGTAACAGATTATGATGACGAACAAGTTGAAATCCAAGTTCGTACTGTACTGATGGATGCTTGGGCTGAGATACGACATGATCTGGACTACAAACACATCCTGGGATCTGCGAATGGTGAAGAACTGCGAGTGCTCGATGCAATCAAGGGCAGCATCATGTCCTGCGAAATTCTGCAAGACCATCTCTTCATACTGCGAAAGCAACACGTCGAGAGCGATGCCGAGAGATGGACACGAGAGAGTTCGGAACGCCTCCGTATTTCAATCATCGACTCCATGTCATTCGAGCCTGGTATCAGATTTCTCTTGGATAGGTTTGGCAGCGAGCCCAGCGAGGGAGCTCTTTTCCGCTATACGAAGGAACTTTTCGAAAGATGCGACATCCATTCGCTGTTAGAGTTCAGACAGACTATGGCAAGATTGATCAGAATTGATGAGCAACCAGAGAAGGCGGCCAAGGCGCAATGGGCTCTGTCATCCATGTATAGCTCCTCTCAATACAGAGGCACTCAAAAGAAGGATGCACTGGAGGACGATACTTTGACATTGTTCCAGTTTGTGAGTATCCTGTTGCTGTACGCTATGGATGTTGAAGACATTGAGCGAAGACTATGGGCGCCTAAATACGACAATGTTGACGATGATGAGGAGGAAGAAGAAGATGAATTGGACACAAGCGATACTGATGAAGGTGATTCGGATGAGACTGGGGATGATACTGGCGATACTGCTAGTGATTTGAGCTATAATAGTGAAGGTAATTCTCACGACAAATCTGAGATCGAGGATGACGAAGACGATGAAGACGGTAATAGCGAGGATAGTGATGATGATGAAGACAATAAGAGCGAGGATAGTAGTGATGATGATGATGATGATGATGATGATGATGATGATGATGATGACGACGACGACGACGACGACGACGATCGTGATATTGACTTCGATATTGATAACATTTGGGGCCCTGACAGAAAGAAGGGCAGGACTTCTCCGAAGATATGGTCGAAAGAAAAGCTTGCGAGAGAACCAGATAGATGGACAAAGCGGGCTTACGAAAGACGCGCAGCCAGGTGGTACTCACTGCTTAGTATGATACTGGACACCATGGATAATTGCCGTCCAGATGTGCTTCACCAAGATAGACCTCGATGGTTGCATACTGTCAGCATAACTTGGCATGTGCATGAATGGGTGGCGACAATATATCAAGATAAGGCGAAGCTTACGGATGTCATGACGGTGGTTGCACGTCTGTTCCGCTATTTCAAGGCTCATATCGAAGATGCCTGGAACGGGGAGGCAACATGGCTGTACACCATAGCCACTTATCTGCAATGGTGGGAGAAGCACAAGGTCTGGCTCTACACCGAGGACCAGAGAGATTGGGAAATCAGGAGAAAATATGGAATGACAATTGGCAAAGAGATGTTGATGGACGATTGTTGGATCAAAGCTAGCCAGGTAGCTGCCGATATCATCGGGGTCGCACCTGTTCATTTGAAGCACGCAGCCCTTTTCCGAGCTCTCTTGAGAGGTAGGCCCGCTGACGACTATGCGCACCTGCACCTGCACGACGAAGATATCGATATAAACCGCCAAGATAGCTACGGCAAGTCACTCCTGGGCGCAGCAGCAGCATTTGGATCAGAAGACATCTGCAGAATGATGCTGACACGTCCTGAAGCGAATTTCAATCTTAGGTTTAGTGATGGACTCAGTCTCATGCACATTGCAGTAGTACGCGAAAATGGCGCAATGATCAAGCAGTTGGCCTCCAGCCTCAACCTGGACACCAAGGCGATTTGGGATGTCGGAGACCTCAACTTCGCTAAGAACAATCGAAAGGCCAAACCAAGAGCACCATACTGGTCTCAATACGACAAACGGGAAAATTGGCGTCCCAAGTCCCACAGGGGAAAGAAATCTCGAGGCTCCCTCAAGATGGCCTGGACAGCTGTTGAAATGGCAAAACGGCGATGCCGTGAGAATGGAGATCTGCAGTCCCTGTATGAGCCGCTTTTTGATGCTGCTAGGCACGCTCACGACAAGAAGCCGTCTCTCACGAAACGATCACGAAAGCGACGTGGCTAATGACATCTGCGCAGATGAGTCGCTTCTGTTTCGCATTTCTCAAGGTCAACCAGCAGCGCCAAATTGGTCGAGCGACTAGTGCGAACACGTTGTTTCCACTGTACGTAGTAAGCTGGTAACCAATGTAGCTATCAGGTTATCAACCCAGGAACATTATTCAGCTGTCATCAATATTTCTCAGGTGGAACAGTGGGGAGAACATTACTTCGTTATGTCGGAAGACTCCGCCGCGAACACATAAACACTCTCATACACTTACAGTCTTTCTGCTTCCGGCACGCCGCCCAGTGCTTCATCGCTCGCTTACTCCTGTCTCGCTTAGCCAAACGGTACGCGCACTCCACTCCAAGTGTTTGAGCCATTCCAGTCCTGCGCCGGGACAGCAATACCGACCCAACACTCCTCGACCTTGCTAATGCCGAACGCACGCTTTCCAATGAATTTTCTGCCCGGTCCTATGCCACGTATTGGCTGGCAAGACTCGAACAAGGTGCAACGGCCGTGGTGCTCGATGAAAGACTTGTAAAAGGAGATGGAACGACGCCGCAAGCAAGTCCAGTAGCCCACTTGTACCAAGGCAATGGCTGATGGCCACGCAGGAACAACAGTGAAGCAGTCGCAGTTCTTCAACACAAGTCTTGTCGCTATTTCGCCAGCATCGTCCCAAACACCTTCGCATAGAAAGCCTTAACCTCCATACACACGTTCTGATCCGTCCTGCACGCTTCCTCCTCCACGCACTCCCACATCCTTTTCTCCACATCGTACCCAAATTTTTCCACTACGTTCTTCTCCTTCCCCCATATCCTATGCCAATCCCCATTTGCATTCCATGCCACGCCGCCCTCGCGCAAAAGCTTCAGCGGGTTGAGTTTCGTTTCCGGAGACACTGTATGCACGAAAAAGGCTCTAACTTGGTTCTTCTCCTCATTTCGTTCGTATTCGGGTTGTATGTGGTTTGGATACGGAGGGTCATAGAGATAATCTTGCATGGGATCTGCTTGGCCCGCTCCAGCGAATATGTATTGTCCATTGACATGATTCCCGAGGGCTGACACGGGGGTTTTCAGCCCGTAAAAAGGCGCATTCACTGCCACGGCAGCAGCTCCAAACGTCTCTTTATCGCCTTGCCCCGGGCCGTTCTGCGATTGTAAGGGATAGTAGTAGTCCGGGCCGAAGTAGTTGTAATATACCATCATGGGAATACTTTCAGCATGGTGCTTCTTGTCCAGTAGTAGTTGGCCTGATTCTGTGCCGCGATTTGGTGGCGGTTCGGCGATACCTGCGATGTGGTAGTAGTGCGGCGATGCGGTGTTGGCGAAGAATCCGGGCCACGTTACGAGGCCGTGGGTTGTGTATGGTGGGGACTATCATTGCGCAACGTTGGTTAGCTTGGGTTTGGGCTGTGGGATAGGCGACGTACATTGAAGAGAGGTGTTGGATCGTGTGCCGGAAATGCATCCGCGTCGAGAAAAAGAACATGTCTGAATGACGAGAAGAGAATGGCGAGGATTTTGAATTGAAAGTGCTCTGGTGGCGCGATAGCAACATCCGCTGTCGAATAGACTTCTTCAACGACGTGACACTTTGCATTTAAACTCGGTAGCACATCCTCGCATATACTCTTTACTTCTTCATACTCTTTTTGATCACCGAGGAAAACTTGAACCGGTAACGTACATCCTGTCCGCCGAAGCATGCGTAGAGATACAAGCAAGACAGGGAATAGCTTCAATCCGCCAGTCGTGACGATACCGGTCTCATCTCCAACTGGTAATAGCGGTGCTAGGCGTCGGGCTGCGACGCGCATACGGCGATGTGCACGCATCAGCTCCGCCTCATCTTCTGCGGGCAGAAATAAACGTTCCGGTCTCTCTTTTTTCTTGAGCGGTTCAAAGTTCCTATCCTCATTGGGCATTTCCTCTGTCGTGACGTTGATGGGAGGACATGCTGGGCGCGCGTCCTCGAGGGAACTCGCGAGCTCTTTCCAGTAGGAGATGAGGTCAGTCTGGTAGTTCGCAGAAAAGGCCGAGCCGGCGGAGAGAAATGGTTGGAGAGTTGAGATGTGACCTCGTGCAAAGAAGATGTAAAGAATGATTACGGAACACAGTCCCGCGAATGAACCAGCCCGCCAGCAAGATACATGGTTGGGACGGATAAGCATAGTACCGGTACTGTACGCTACCGTGAAAAGGTAGCGCAGCAGCCTGCGAACCAGAAACAATGATTCAGGAAACCGTTGGAAAGAAGAAAGGGACGAGATCCATCCCGTTATTATTCATCTGCTAAATTTGGTGGTGGGATCTGTACCCTAGACAAATCTTACAAGTTAGGATTACGGAGGTGGATGTTCTGGCTCTAGCGTGGTAGACAAAGCCAGACCTAGGCTAATGGTGGAGAGCCCTCCTCACACAACAAGGCCTCCAATAATTTTTTTCTATTCAGCGTCTAAAGGCTTCTGCATTTGCAAGCATGTTGCCATTCTGTTATATGTTCTGTCCTTTTATTAGAATTTATTGGCTGTATCGTGGTGCGTAACTAGAAGAAAAGGCCGTCTTGTAGCTGATCTTACTCCCGGTTTTCTCTGCGACGCTAGAGTCTGTAAGGCGTGCAGGATGTTCTGGAAAGGGTGTAGTCTGAAGCCACAGATAAGCCACAGAGTAAGCCTAGAGCCCTGCAGCAAATTAGGTCATTACGGGTCAAAGGACTTTGCTCACCACGCGCCGAGCAAGAAGGGGCCCAGCGCGTAAGCCGCGCACTCCAACAAGTGGTCATCTCCACAATATCCTAACTTCAATGTTTCATTACTCCACCACCACCCTGTTAATACCGGAACATTTTGCGCGCATCTTCTTCGCCATGTCAAGAAAGGGTATTTCCAACCGAACTTGACGCGGTGAGAGTCAATTAGGTCGTTGTGATGAATCTATGGAGAACGGAGTAGGGATCCAAACTGCTAGAGGTAGTTTGGAATAGTATTAGATCATTGCTATCCAATTCTGATCTACAGCTCTAGCTACTGCTTGATGAGTTGCCCGATGTCTTCATAGCCAAATTGATGCAGAATGCGATGTAACAGAATGCCAAAACACAAACTGCGATCGAGTACCCATAATCTAAAAACATCAAGAAAAATGTATAAACACTATACGTCGATATTGCAATGCATACACGCGCAATCAACAATCTCGTCCAGCTTTCGGTAAGCAGTGAAAATAAAGCAAAGTTAACCGCACCCATCATAAAAGCGATCGGTATCCAGGCGATAAAGTTGACCGTAGGTATAAAGTAACCCAGCTGCTGACCCTTTGACGGCTTTTCGACAAAGTATATCCTCGGTACGAATAGAACTATGATGGTGATGAAAATGAGTGCGAGCAGCAAGTAAAAGACAAGGACGTGGAACCAGGTTTCCTGATAAAAGTCGTGATCCGGTTCCTCATGCACTCCGTCTGAATGGCTTGAGTCGAGTCCCGTTGCGATTTCCATTGTTTCTGTCCGTGAAGGTGGCTCCGGCTGAATGATAGCTTCTGCTGGCTCTTTTGCAGCCTTTCCGTCACCAGAGCTTTCTACAATAATTTGATTAGCACTGTCTGCAGTTCATTCGAATTTTCACTTGCCAACAACCAGCTCGATTACGTTTAGCAGTGGAGCCAATAGCAGGATGACCGGGGTGATCTGTCCAAAGCTCCAGTCCCCGGAATCAGGAGCACTCTTCGACCAACCGTCCATGCTCATACGGAGATTATAAACCCCCCAGGCGAAGCTAGCCAATAGCCACCACACCTGTCACCGTTAGTTTGAATCGACGTCTTCCTAGTCTACTGCACGCAAGTGTAGATCTTACCTCAACAATCATGGAGGACCAGAGGTCCAGCACAGCTCGAAAAGCGAGATACGTACTCAACAAGGGGCGATAGAAGAAAAGATTTCTCAGGATTCTCTTTCTGCTGGATTGATCTTGAGACAGAACTGAGGGGTCTGACGGATACTTCGTCTTCTCATATTGTAGACGAAGAAACCTGCGGCCGTATTCGCTGAGATACCTTCGACTGGCAACGACGAGTCCTATAGCTAGCCTTCGATGAAGCCTCACAACTCTTGAAACGAAACCAAGGCCTATGAGTAGAACAGATACTATCATAGATCCGTATGCGAGTTCCGGGTCCTCAGAGGAGGAATAGTCCGCATGTTGATAGTTCATTCCCAATTGCCGAAATGTGCAAATTGCATAACCTGCTGGATCGCTGTTGGAGTTGTAGTTACCGGTTGGAAGGAGTGCCACAATCAGCATCACTACCAGCGCGCCCATTCCAATAAGTCTCCAGAGGCGTTCTCCAGGATGATTGTACAAGTGATTCCTCAGAAAGGTGAGACAAGATAGGTGTGTGAGACTAGAGAACCATGTCAAGTACACCAAGATCTGCCAGTGATATATGGAGAGACCACAATGTAACTGAGCATATCCACTTATCAATATGGACAGTCCTGTCAGAATCTGCAGATCGCTCAAAGTAAGGACGCCCTGATCCACTTGATCAGTCATGCTAATTGTACTGAATGGAGGCTTTGTACCTTTAATAGAGCCTTTTCAAGTCTCGAATTTCTGCTTATGAGCTGTACTGCTGTTTCTGATGGCGCCGAGTTCTTTCTGATCTTCCTCCACAAGTTCCGTAGGTGCCGGAGTATCAGTTTATCGACTGGATTTGGAGTATACGGTATCTGTGGTTGTTCATGGTCTCGGCCACTCCAAAAAGGATCTAAATCAGGATTATGGGCGATAAAATAGTAAATCGTTATGATGAAGACAGTGATTCCTGCGGTGGTGGTGTAACCAACGATAACCTTGGATGACGATCAGCTGAAGACATTAGTTCGTGCAAATAACATACCCCACGCCCAGAAATATCCGAATAATCAGGTATAGCTGCGAACGTACGGTTCTCGGAGCAATCGTAGTGGCAAGGCATGACACAAGGCTGGAAGAAGAGTTCCTTCCCATAATCGTGGATCTAGCCATGCACTTGTATGGCAGGTTGAGGCTGAAAAAGTAAATCTTTCCAGTTTTCAGCTGCGGCTACACCCATTCCCACTTGAAACAATGCCTGGCCCCTGCCGTGGGGGCTGCGTCTCGCGGGGTACGACTATCCTGTTCTGCCTCGTTGTATGCACTGTTTACCGATTAATGCGCCTCTATATTGACAAACATGTAAGCGTCTATACATTGTGGCAACAACCAATCGATACCGAATGGGGTTAGTATCCAATGCACGATAAGTAGCCGGGAGTTTCGAGGTCTTAGAGTTGATGTAGTTAGCCACAATTGCGCAAATCCACACATGAGCATACCTAGGCACTCGAAGAATAGAGAAGATCGCCAGATCTTACGCCAAGTCTGTGGCGTACACTTCTGGACATTTCTAGGCTTGCCTTCATTTTCAGCTTGTTGCGGCGCTTTCGGTTGTTTGAGGCCGCTACTCGCTACTTGCGTCGCAAAAATAGTGGCTACGTTCAGCTAACATATCTTTAGCTCCTCATCATACCATATTTGAATAAACTTAGTCTGCACATGTTATATCGTGGTAATCACCGGAGCCCTCTCTCTATTTCACGTCACGCTTGTAGCCACACGATGCTGCACAATCTGGTCGTTGCGTGCCTAGATTCTCTCCTTGGAGGCAGCCTCAAGAAGGCTCACAAACGTTCTGTTCATTCGTTGTCGCATCACTAGAAATGACAGGCCTGGTTGAACAACCAGATTTTGCGATTGATCACCATAACGCAAGGTCCGATACGTGGTGTATAGTCGCCGGTTCTCTCTAATGTAACTCGCGGTACTTGTCGATTGCGACAGGCACCGTGGGCATTATGCGAAGCAATGAAGAAGAGATATTGGAACTATGATTGCGACCATCGCAGATGGTTAGATGCGGGGCTGGCGCATACAAGTTGGCATCATCCAGAGGCAATGTGGAAGATACATGAGAGAATTGTCGAAAGGAGATGTTATCCAGCTGCTCATTCTCGGTCTTGAGGGAAAATGACGAAACGCTTCGAAAGCAGAGGACGATTTCGGAAAGCTTCGCGGAGCGTACTATACAGAGCTCTAGAAGTACACGGGTGCAGTGTCTGATACCATAACATAAGGTCACAGGAATCGTTTATTGCCCCGCAAGCAGGGCCTCTAAGGTCGTAACACATAAGACAGAAGCGTGAAATGTAATGAGTCGGACCAGAAACGTCTGTGATTGGCTGGCTGCAGGCGTGACCACTCAAGGACTTGGGCTAATATCAACTGGTTGACATTTCAGGGTCCATGTGCACCTCGAGCCTAGGAAACCAGTTTCCCAAAGCTAAAGCCTTTGCTGTGGTAAGATATGATAGCTCTAAGCACTACGCCAATTGTGGCAGGATGTATGCGACATGGTATTATCACTCTTTCGCCACGATCGGCGTCGTTGATCATGACTGACCCCGCAATAGGTATGGTGTCGTAAACGCAACAAAGATCCCACCAACATCCCATATCGATCGATACCTTGTACTTTCATCGCACAACAAGGATGACAGAATCCATCTCCATCCACCCCGCCACTCTCTCCGACATCCCCACCCTCGCAGCAATTCGCACGGAAGCCGCCGAGACCTCTTTACTGACCCATTTCCAGTTCAGCCCCTACCACAGCATCGCTACAGAGAAAGAGTCAAATGCCCTCATCAGTCGACTCTCCGGACGTTTTACTGAACCCGACGGGCAAAAGTTTCGCTTGATCAAAGCCGTGGATTCAAGGAACAAAGAGACGGTAGGATGGGGGCTGGTGAAGTGGGAGGACGGGAGCTGGGTTAATGCTGTGACACCGTCAAGTGCGCAGGCGGTCGCTCCAAATGAAGAAGTAGGACCTACCTATCCAGGGACATTTGGACGGTACTGGTCGAGGAACGTGATCGCTAAATGGCGTTGTATCACGGCTGGTAAGCCCCATGTCAGTAAGTAGCTCTTCCCCGGCCAGAATCTAGTCAACAAGTAGACTGATATCTTATACCATGAATCAGCAATTGGGGCTATGAACGTCAAGATTGCGTGGCAGGGAAAAGGGGTCGGGAGGATGATGATAGAATACATGTATCGTGAGTACGAACTAGAGAAGGAATTGGTAATCGTACAGACCACTGCTTCGGCCGAGAGGTTTTACGAGAAGATGGGCTGGAAGACTGTGGATAGTACCGTTATCGATCTGAGTGACTGGGCAGGAAAAGGGTTGGGATATGGGCTGCTGAGATGTCCGCAGATGGTTAGATACCCCCAGGGAAGATGAGGAATTTTTGGCTTCATGGTGTCATGGGCTGTAGCCTGATGCTCGTACTGTAGTGCTTTCTTCGCTGCCTAAATCATGTATCCAATGACTGTCGTCACAGCCCTCAAGCAACAGTGAGACCCACTACGCAATATCACTTTTATTGTTGCCTAGAGCACTGAATCAAGAAGCTTAGTATCAACTTTAGCAATTTCAGCGAAGACATCACGCCATCAGATCAGATTAGATTAGCAGTAAGCAGGCATGTGAATTTAAGGGTAACTTAGCACCGGCCTTTCACCGGTCTCAAAGAGCTTGTCCGACGGCCGCTGATGTGCCTCACGGAGATACCTCCGGTCTTACGGATTGGAAGTCGGAGCCGACTCGGACGCCGATGGCTTTGTGTAGCAATGGGACTATAACATACAGCGCGAGGGGAACCCTTGGAAGCCAAATTTAATTTTTAGGTAGAATCAATACCAAGCTTCTTACAAGTCTTCTACGAGCTTCCTACCACAAGCCCTCCGAGGTTCCGTAAACCTTCCGCAAACCCTCGTCCTTGTCTAGCCTACGTTCTCATACACCAGCGCTACTATCGCGAAGATGACGACATCGCCATCATGCTTGAACATTCTCATTGTAGGCGCGGGCGTCTGCGGTCCGGCACTCGCCCTCATGCTCCAACGTTCTAACCCCAATCACGTGATCATGGTCATAGAACGGTTTCCCACGCTCCGGACAGGCGGACAGCAGATTGATATCAAAGCACAAGGCATCCCTATCTTGGAGAAACTAGGTCTCCTTGACACAATTCGCTCCTACTGTGTCAAGGAAGGCGGCATGGAGTTTGTTGACCGAAATGGTAAAAGCCTTATGCAATTCGGTATCACGAAAGCGGGAGACACCGCTAGAGGGTTGACTCTAACCCATGAGTTTGAGTTCATGAGGGGGGATTTCGTCAAAATGATGCATGATGTCAGCGTCCAGGAACGCGAGATACTAACCACCAGAGGACATGTCAAAGGTGGACTGACCTACGAGTTCGGCAAAAGCATCACCGCGCTCTGCCATTCTGAATCCTCATCTTCCCCCAAGACAGCAACAGTGACATTCTCCACCGGCGAGACCCGCATCTTCGATCTGGTAGTCGCAGCAGATGGTCAAGCTTCACGGACCCGTTCTCTTGCCTTTGGCTCCGAGATTTCCAGCTCGGCTTTCCACTCCATGAATATCCATGCCGCATACTACAATATCCCTCGTCTTCCCACAGAAGATAACCTAGCGCGCATCTACTTCGCTTCCAACAACCGCATGGTAATGACACGTACGGGCAACCAACCGGCGACGCAAGTCTACCTATTCCTCATGAACGGCAAAGACAAAGACAGAGCAAGCCACATGGCGACTTACCAGAAGAGATCCGCGGAGGAACAGAAAGATGCTTGGAAGAGCTTGTACCAAGATGCAGGATGGGAGTGCCCACGCTTTCTCCAAGGCCTAGACACTGTACAAGATTTCTACACCACAGAAATCGGCCAAGTGAAGATGCCTCAGCATAAACTTTACAAGGACCGCGTTGTCCTCCTTGGCGACGCGGGATACTGTCCCTCACCCTTTACAGGAATGGGCACTACACTCTCCCTCATCGGCGCATACGTCCTTGCAGGCGAGTTGTTTCGACATGGTGATGACGTCGATGCTGCGCTGGAAGCCTATCAAGAGGCCATGAAGCAGCCTGTTGAGGAATGTCAGAAGCTTGGGCCCTACGCAGATGGAAAGGGTCCCCTTCCGAGTTCAGAGTGGGGGCTTTGGATGGCGGGTTGGGCGCTTTGGATGGTGAGCAGTCTAAGAGTTGATAGGGTAATTGGGTGGCTTGCGGGACTTTTACCACTAGGAAAGGAAAAGAGGTGGGAGATGCCGGAATACACGGAGTTCAATCTGACGGCCCTGGAAAGAGAATGAGGTGGTATGCTTGGTATGCTCGTGTTTTTTTCCATGGTTCGCGATGTACAACAATGTTTCCCTAAAATGTATACTATGCAGACCCTCTGCAATGATCCCAGATAGTAAGATGTGAACTGGTTCTGCCAAGACATCCGTTGTATACTCTGTCCAGGTTATCGAAACGTACGTTCCAGAGCGACAGATTACGTCTTTCTCTGCCTAGACAGCTTCTTCTTAGCCCTCTCCCATCTCGATTTATCATTCCCACGATCAAGCAAACCATTCATTACACGCTCCATCTCTCTTTTCCTTTCCTCGAAATCCGCGTTCCAGACTGCTGGGGCGCCAAAGCGTTTTGAACATACCTCCCATTGCTTGACATCTAGCAAGCCTAGTAAGCGACAACTACGCACCAAGTCTTCTCTTGGTAGCGTGACACCTTTGGTACGAACATAGCTGGTGAGGTTGAACAACACAGCAAAATCAAGAAAGTCATCGATGCTGACATTTAGCTTGCGGGGTATTAGTTCGCCGTATACCGTCGAGTATATGGCTGCAGTACGCCCTACTTCATCCAGAAATTTGATTGGACAAATCTGGAGACGGTGTTCTAGTCTTAATGCGTATTCGATGCAGGATGCGAAGTGGGAGGTCTTGGTACTAATGGTACCAGCAAGTGTCTTGAATAGACCGAGTTGGCTGTTGGCCCAGTGCCATTGCGGATCGAAAGCGTCGTGTCCGGTATTATCGAGCACGTTGTTCCAGACTCGCTGAGATCGGACGAAGTCGCGCGCAATGCTATGTGTCCAGGTGACATGAGATGCTGTCTGTGTTCAGCTTCGATTGGACCTCGAATACAACACGAACGTACCTTCCGACAGCACGGCGCTGGAGCCCTTGTGCGAGCTTTCCACTTCTAGTAGACCTCGACATCGAGAGTTTAGCTGACGTTTCATAGTTCCGAGGCGCACCAAGATGTCGGATCTTGACAGCGGTCTGGCCTGGCTCCTCAGTGCTGGATCATCATTCTCACAGTCTGCAAACCAGAGCTCCAGTAACATTGGTCGTGTTTTCACAGCGAACAAACGGAAGAGTTGGCAGGCGTGCCTCAGGTGCCGTGTATTCAGACTACCAATGAGCTTCGTGAAGAGTTGCTCCAACCCAGACGGGAGGGAATCTAGTTGAGCGTTAAGGTCGTAAATGCGGGCTGTTGTCACCAGTCCATCAAGTAGAACATTTACCACGACATGTACCCAAAGAAAGATGCCGGCTGCCTTGTTGGCTATATTTTTGATGATATTGGTAGCAGATCCGGGGTCTGAGCTACTGAACTTTGCATACACTTCGTTGCCTATTAACGAAGCCTTGACGTAATTGTGGATGTCTTGGCGATTGCAGCGTTCGAGGCGAAGACAAGGCTCGCCTCTGAAAATGCGAAGGAACTCTGGTGTTGGCCTGCTAGCTACGCAAAGTTTGATTTGCGGAAACTTAGCCACGTCCGTGAGAAATTGCACAAGTTCTTTCGGGTCTCCGTCAAGTTCATCTAGGCCATCGATCGCGAAGAAAAATGACCTCGGCGTGAGAGGGGTGGAAACCATCATGATGAAGACATGGCGTAGCTCGTTCCATGTAAAAGGTTGTCGACCCCCGCCAAAAGTCCCAAATTGCTGCCAGCGATGGTGGAAAACATGTAGTAGGGTCTTCCTGTCACGTTTGAGTGCGCAATAAAGCAAAGTCTGTAGAAGGCCCAATCGCGACTTTTGCATGTTGTTTCCCAGACTTGAGGAGAAAAACCTTCCCCTGACGACTGGTTTTGCCTTGGCCCAGGTTTGTAATTGGGCAGCAGTCCGACGGTGACTGGATAGGAACTTCATCAGCGTACTCTTCCCAGCACCGGGCTCGCCAGAAACCCAATAGAGGTTGCTACAATCGACTGCAGCGAGCCACCGAGGGAAGGATTCGTAATCACGAGAATCGTTCCGATGGTAGCTTCCGTCGAATGTCCATTGAAAAGTTCCGGGGTGCGTACACGGGACTGCCTTCAAGCGATCGGGTAAGCCAGTGAATCGTAAGTGTGCCAAAATCATGCTTGCAAAGCGACTTTCTATGTCGCCGCTTACAACGGAGCCTTTTAAGGTGTCTGAAAACGATGAAATGTCAGCCGTTTCCGTGGGCTTCCAATTGTGATGGTTGACGGCGTAAAGTAACTGCACACGGGCGTTGGCCGCTTTGTCCCCGGAAAGCCATCCCTTTTCCAGATGAGCTTGATCAAGCTGTGAGATGCATTTTCTGTGTCAACAATTAATGGGTGATGGCATCGGGAGTATCACACTTACCTGAGTGAGGCGAGAAGAGCGATATCTACTTGCTTACGAACAGAATTGAGCGTGTCTAAAAAAGCTGATATCGTCTTCTGGTTATAATACAAACACAAGACGCTGCGTAGTCCATGATCAAGTACAGTTTGTTCGCCCACGTCGTGGTTGCGCTTCGCTTGGTCCAGTGTGGCTTGTAAAATCTTCGCCACTCCCGCACCATCTTTCGCACATGCGATAAGTTGCGCATCCGCTGTGTTGTGTTGATCAGGAGTGGTATTGGAATCTCGGACTACATGCTGTGTCTTCCTGAGTTGTTGTGATAAGTCGGCGAGGTTAGCTATCGCGTCATCGAGCAGTGTAGGTTCTTTCAAGGTGTTGGCATCAGATGCGTGTAGACCGCCCACTTTACCCTTGTGTACCACTTTGGCCGAGTACTCGACAAGTTGTATGATGGATGAAGCCAGGGATACAGCATTCGAAGGCTCCATGGGTGTGCGAGGTGTTGCAGGGCAACATTGTGTAGGCAGTCCACCGAGACACACATGGACGGCTAAGACGGAAGGTTGATGTTCACGCGCACATCGCTAAGGCGCCCTTTAGCCCAAACGCGTGAATGCAGTCGACTCTCTAGTACGTCTAAGGGCACGATAGTAGTAAGGGCTTGCTTTTCTGCTGCTAGCCGGCGTCTCCATAGATGCCACGCTCTTCCTAGTCGACTGGATGACGTGCATTATCATTATCACAAGAGCCTAGCCCCGTCCATGTAGAAATGTGGAAGGTATGACGATGAAAGACTAGTGCGAGACATGTGAAGACGGATTTGTGTTTAAGTGGGGGTAGCGGTGAAAGATCCGCAGTCGTGGTTCGCGCCATGCGAACTCGTCTCGTTTTCGCATTGCGGACCACCGAGACCACCTGGACCGTGCGCCAGCAAGCTTTCCCGGACTTTGGATGGTTGCGAAGCACTCCTCTGGCCTTCAACCATGGCCGAATACTGGAAATCGACAGTAAGTGAGACCAAGAAAGACAAGCGCGTCATAAACTAACTCTACTGCAGCCAAAATACTGGTGCAAGTTTTGCTCCGTGTTTGTCAAGGACACCAAATTCGAGCGCGCGCAGCACGAAGCGACCGGCCGCCACCAAGGCAATATCCAGCGTAGTCTGAAGGGACTACATCGCGAACAGGAAAACGAGAAGCGCAATCAGGCGCGCGCACAAGCAGAGGTCGCTCGGCTGAATGGCATTGTACCATCGGCATCCTCCACTCCTTCCGTCGCGACTGGCGTAGGCGGCAAGCCCACATTCAAGAAGGAACCCGAGAAGAAAGCCACAGTAGACGACAGGAAACGACAATGGGAGCAATTGGCAGCTATGGGTGTGGCGCTTCCCGCGGCTGCAAGAGGCGATTTGGCGATAGCGGGCGAATGGAAGACAGTAAAGGAAGAAGTCATGGGAGAAGTCACCGAGGACGGAGAGTTCAAGGCAACATCGTTGAATAAGGGTGTACGGAAGCGGCAACTGGATGAGGATGAGGAGGAGCAAAAGGCTGCCGGAGAGCTCATCACCAAACGGAAAGGCTGGGGACACACGTACAAGAGTTTCCCGGGCAGCAAGGGTGGCGATGACGATGACATTGAGAGCTTGCTTGGGAAGAAAAAATCGCAGCCAGAGGTCAAGAGAGAAGAACATGGGGATGGAGTGAAAGCTGAAGTTGAAGAAGAGAACGAGGCCAAGACCCTGCAGGACATACCCACGGCTGAAGAAGCGGAATCAAAAGCTGCCGAGGCCATTGTGAAAAAGGAGGAGGATGCGCCAGCTACACCAGCGGTGGTGTTTAAAAAGAGGAAGAAGGCGAAATGAGCAGCATCATGACCCGTTCCATCCACAATCCATGCGTCACCTGTCGATCACGCTGTTATCAGCCTCGGCTCGTCTGCTATGGAATCCAGTTTCGAAGTTGACATTCGTTGAATGGATCTGCTTCCAATGAACTCAAGCGAGGTTTGCATGGGCTTTGGCACCAAGCAGCAGGACATGCGTGTAGCAGAGCATCTTTATTATGTATGCAAGGGCTTGCTGGATCATGACTTGGATAACGAAGCTGGGTAGGATGCATTCAGTAGAATGTCGCGTTGAGTAGTGTAGTTCCAGGTTCAGATGTCTTTGTAACAAGCAACCAATAGGGAAGCGGGATGGCTGGCCAGCTTCGAAGAGGACCTTAGCCGTTCTTGCGTAACAGATGATTAGAGACAGCGAGATGAAGGAAGACCAAGGCGTAGTGTTAGCATGAATGCATGATAGACCCCCACAGTCTTGAGCGGCTCGTTTAACGTACACTTTCGATCGGCGCATGCACCTAAACCTTAAACCCCTGCCCAAACGTCTGCCAAGTAGCGTCGACCGCGAGATCGCGTCGCCAACACCAGACAACTGTCGCGGTTCACCAAAACGTGCGCCCCAACTATCAACCCACGACCTCTTCTTCCAGCCTTTTCTGCCCTACTTTCATGGTCGCGTAATAGCATGATTCAACTGCTAGCGATATTTACGCGACCATGCATCTCATTAAACCACAGTGGTTAACACACCCGGGTTGGTGCATCTCTGCGCATGCATGTGCTATTGTTGTATTGCCATGTTACTGACACGAGCTTGTCATAGGCGAACAGAAGGACTTCGAAGTATACAGTTGCCACGTTTCCCCTGATGGATCGCGCTTGGCCACGGCTGCCGGAGGTTCGTCAACCTACCCTGGGGTTTCCCGCGCGATGCGTTCCTCCCGAGAAGACTGTTGACACATCATATACAGATGGCTATGTACGTGTATGGTCCACCGAGGCTATCCTGAACTCAAACGACCCCTCGTATACGAAACCAAAGCAGCTCGCGGCTGTGAGCCATCATTCTGGTACCATTCACGCGGTCCGCTTCTCTTCCAACGGCAAATACCTGGCTTCTGGCGCAGACGACAAGATAGTATGCGTCTACACGCTCGACAAAAATGCGGCGCCGGCGCGTCCAACATTTGGTGGGTAAAGGCAGGGCACCCACGATGAAGGTGAGCTGATAGAATCGCAGGAACGAACGAACCCCCGCCCGTCGAGAATTGGCGCGTCACTCGCCGCCTCATAGGACATGAAAACGATGTGCAGGATCTTGGCTGGTCATTTGACTCGTCAATCTTGGTATCGGTGGGGTTGGACTCGAAAGTCGTAGTCTGGTCTGGGCATTCCTTCGAGAAGTTGAAGACACTGTCAAACCACCAGAGTCACGTCAAGGGCATAACATTTGACCCAGCCAACAAATACTTCGCTACTGCTAGCGACGACCGCACCATCAAGGTTTACCGATTCAACTCTCCGCCGCCAAACGCCTCGCAGCAAGACCAGGTTAACAACTTTGTTTTGGACCATACCATCACCGCGCCCTTCCAGACTTCCCCGCTTACCACATACTTCCGCCGTTGCTCATGGTCGCCTGATGGCGCACATATCGCCGCTGCGAATGCTACAAACGGGCCAGTTAGCTCCGTCGCTATCCTTGCGCGTGGTTCGTGGGACGGAGACATCAGTCTGGTCGGCCATGAAGGGCCCGTTGAAGTAACCTCGTTTTCTCCGCGATTGTTTTACCGGGACCCACCGCGACCAGAAAAGGACGGAACTATCAACCAGCCAACTGTTACAATTGTTGCTTGCGCCGGACAAGACAAATGCTTGAGTGTGTGGAATACAAGCTTTCCTAGACCGTTTATGATCTCGCAGGAGCTGGCAGGAAAGTCTATTTCTGACTTGTCGTGGGCACCAAACGGAGAAACGCTATACGCCACCAGTCTAGACGGTAGCATATTGACACTCGTGTTTGCGCCTGGAGAACTGGGCTATCCAGCGACATTGGCAGAGAACGAAAAGACGCTTGCCAAGTTCGGCGCCGGCAGAAGAGTTGGCATCATCGAGGGTACAGACGCACTACTTTTGGAAGAGAGCAGTAAGAGTGGAGAGTTAAAGGGTGTTCAAGGCAGGATGGGTGCACTCATGGGCGACGCCGGAGGTGCAGTCCAACCGCCAACCATTCCTAACGGAACCAACGGCGCCACTACTACGACAAGCCTCACGAATGGATCGAGCGCTGCTGCACCACCAGCGGCCCCTACTGAGCCAGCTCCAGATGCTAGAGTCGAGAAGCTCAAGCAAAGGGTGACCATCAATAAGGATGGCAAGAAGCGGATAGCACCTATGCTCATGTCGTCTTCATCCGGTGTCGGCGAATCATCCTTGCCTCAAACGCAGCTCCTCTCTGCAACAGCCACGTCAGGCGGTAGGAATGATAATCCCCACAATATTTTAGATCTGTCGAAGCCATACGATGGGTTTCCAAAAGGTGGACTCGCAACCATGTTGATAGGAAACAAGAGGAAATTCGCTGAAATCGAAGGCGATGAAGACAGACAAGTAGAGCGGAGATTGGCTGGTTCAGTCAAACCTGGAGGTGCAGCAATTGTACTTAACAGTGAGAAGGGTCTTGTTCCCCCGGCTGCTGCACCATCGAAGACAAACGACCTGACAGAGCCTCCATCAGTTTTAAGGCCCGCCATCGTCAATCCTCACATGGCCCTCGCCCAGGTACGATTGGCTGTGCCAAAAGTCAGAAGTGTTATCGTGCGAACCATGGACGGCAGCGAGCCACCGCAGAGTGGTGTTGATGCCAATACAGGAAAGGCAGAAATACCAGACACTGTCATCCTAGAAGCTCGCAACGCCAGCGGGCCATCACGGACAGGCCGTCCACAAGACCACGATCCAACAAGACTAACCTGTACCAGCAAGGGGCAGTCACTCTGGCAAGATTTCCTGCCAAAAGCCGTACTCCTAGTCACAGGCAACACGAACCTCTTTGCAGCGGCATGCGAGGACGGCTCAGTATACGCGTGGACTCCCGCCGGTCGCCGAACCCTCAACGCCATGGTCCTAGAAGCACAACCGGTAATCATGGACTGCCGTGGCTGGTGGCTAATGTGCATAACAGCAGTCGGCATGGTCTACATCTGGAACCTAAAAACAATGTCCGCACCGCACCCACCCATCTCCCTAGCTCCCATCCTCGACGTTGCAGCCTATGCCCAAGGCCCCCACCTCACGCGCTCTCCTGGCATCGTCTTCGCGCGCCTAAACTCTGCGGGTCGCATAACAGTAGCCATGTCAAACGGCGAGGGCTACGCATACAACCCCGACATGTACATTTGGCAACGTCTCTCAGAACCCTGGTGGGGTGTTACAAGTCAATACTGGAACTCTACTGATTCCTCCGTCGGCAACATCCGATCTTCCAAAGACAAAAACGCAGCACAGAAAGAAAAAGACGATCAGGTCTCTATCGAGAACATCTCAGCGGGAATCATACCTGCACTCGAACGCAACACGACGAACCAATCCCTACTCCAAGGCCGCGCCTTCCACCTCCAGCGACTCATTAAAATCCTGGTTTCTGCAGAGGGCTACGAAACGTTTGAGAGTTCGGCGTCTGTGGCGCATCTCGAGAACCGCGTTGCAGCTGCACGTACCCTGGGTGCGAGGGAGGAGTTTAAGATATATCTTACCATGTACGTTAAGCGTCTTGGTGCTGAGGGCCTCAAAGGGAAGATTGAAGAGTTGTTACGCAGCCTCATGGGCAGTCTTGTCTCTGAGGATGAGGAGGGCAACAACGATGAGGAAGAGGATGAAGGCGCAATGAAGGAGCCGGAAGAAATCTGCGGGTGGAAGAGGGAGGAGTTGCTCAAGGAGGCGGTGTTGATTCTTGGTAAGTTTTTCTCTTTCTCTCTCTCACACACACATGCCTATCTTTTACGATGTTTTCGGATTCCAGGTTGCTAACATGGCATGCAGGTAAACATCGCGACCTCCAGCGTATTACGGTGCCGTATGCGCGTCTTCTTGGTATCGTAACCGAGGGTCAGCGTGGCGACGATCAGGCTATGATTACGGATATGTAACATCACTCTTCTGCTTGTTGTTCCTCTTCTTCTTGATTGTACTAAAAGCATCACCATGGCTGGTATAAGGGCCAAACGGTGCGGTTTGGCAGTGTCTGGAGTCACTTGGCGTTCTCTGGAAAGACGAGTGTGTAAGGTTCTGGGAGGCAGCGGATATCCATATAATTGTAGACATTTCTGGCACGGAGAGGACAATCCTGTCTGTGAGCGATTGAAGTTGAGATTGATAATCCTAGTATAGCGGGTCTGTCGATGCTCTGTGTGCGCTATGCACAGATATTTGGCGTTGTTACTAAGCGTCTAAGTTGCATTGCACACCTCAACATATAGCTCAGCTACAGAAGGCACCTCCTTTTCGCTCCACGTATTCCCCACCCCGCTCCCAACATGCCTTGCAAACAAGAAATCTGATCGAAGTCCACTCTCCTCACCGACGTCAGCCGTTACACTTGCACTCCACAATCTCGTTCGCTCTACTGGCCAGCCCCTTCCGTCAACTTCTTTCTCTTCAATCTCCACGATACGCTCGGCTACTATGCGATAGAGATCGGGGTCCCAGAGGCCTTCACGGGGGAGATCCCGAGATAGGAGCGCGATAGCAGCGCGACGGGTAGGTGGATGGCGGCAGCGGAGGGCGACATAGTACAAGGCGGGGACTAGACAAGTATCGAATGTGAAGTTGGCAGCAGCGCCAGAATGCATCCTGTGCTCTTGAGCAGGACTCGCTGTGTCTGCAGTCTTGTTTACGAGGAATTTAGCGTGGTATATGATGGTTTTGAAACTATCGAGATACCCATCGAACGACATCTGACTGGCATCGTGTACACATGCGGAAGCAGTGTAAGTGGTGTAATAACCAATTTTCAATGTAATC